GATAGATAGATAGATAGATAGATAGATAGATAGATAGATAGATAGATTTAACAAAACTATTCACCACCAAATTGTGTTTCAGGACAGCATAGAAAAATAGGTGTTTTCATATTTTAAAATAGTTTTTCCTTTCTTCTGGACTTCAGTTTATGCCCAAGCCAGGTATTGGAGTAGTGAACATTTCTTTCAGTTTTATTGTATTGTAGTTCACAGTCCTTCATTTTATTTCATATCCCACCCCAATTATAAGAGACACAAAAGCTCCAGGAATGAAATACGAAAAACACATTTAAGCAGAGTAGTAGAACTTAACTTAATTTGTTGTAGTCATACCTCTGGGATAAGCATCTTCCAAAGGATGGGGGTCACCATTGAGAAGATCTTTTCATCTTCTCTGTGTTCCATTTGCCTTGTGAGGAGGTGAAACTCTCAGGCAAATAGAATATATTGTGTCCCTTTTTTAAATGGAGGAGCAACGGGGAGAGAAATAGTTTATCCTTTGTTAACTCTGTAGGTGAAAATTTAGGATTTCATAGATCCCATTTGGTGTGTAGAAAAATAGTTTTTCAATAAGCAGTTATGCTTCAAAATTAATAGCAGTTTTAAATATCAAATTTTATGTGTGCAGTACATGTTATATTTAATGTTCAGATGTAAACCTATTGTTTATAGTAAAAGATTGAGATTTTATTGTATAGCATTTATTTAATACTTTAATGGAACAGTTGGGGGAAGAGTTCTACTAAAGTGAAACATTTGATAAAACGGAATTTGCAAAATTTGTTAAATTTATTTCAGTGTACATTCTTTAGGTAATTCACATAAATAGTCTAAATTGGTTTGTGAAACAATATTGTTTTTCACTGTTTGCAAGTAAAGTTAAAGTTTGCTAAATGCGGGCCTATAAAATCAAGGTTTTACTGTATAATTATCCAAGGAGATTTTGAAACTATAAATACATTTTATGGGCTAAATGCTCATATACACCTCTAAATACTTAGGGATATTCTACTAAAAACATCTGTTTGAAATGTTTCATAACACTATTTCTGCCTGCAATTGTAAGTATTAGTTAAATATTTAGTTAATGGTAATATTTGTTAATGTTAATATTCTCAACTAGATATTTCGTGAAGCAAGAAGAACCCTACCAAGTATTGTTTACATGCCTCATATTGGTGATTGGTGGGAAGCTGTCAGTGAAACTGTGAGAGCAACTTTTCTAACTTTGCTGCAAGATATTCCATCGTTCTCACCAATATTTCTACTTTCTACCTCTGAAACAATGTATAGTGAGTTGCCTGAAGAGGTGAGCAGTTATTTCTTGGGAAATAACAAACACCACTTAGGTAATAGCAAACCAGATCTGAAGCATCCTAATTTGTTGATGTCAAACTTTGTCAGTTTTTTGTATATGGGAGGGTAACCTCCACTCCACTGCATTATATAAGCATCTTTTTATATCTGAGGGAATTTAACAATTCTATTGCTATATGTTAAAAATAGAGGTTGCAATTTGATAATAGGAATTATTAGACAGGAATTTTTTTTAAAAAAAATGGGGTGTGTGTATGTGTGTGTGCATGTGTGCGTGCCTCTGAGACGGTGTTGACTGCAGTTTTACTGGTGAAATTTCAGAAGTGGTTTGCCACTGCCTCTTTTCTTTGTGACGGGCCTAAGGTCACCCAGTTGAGTTTGTATCCAAAGTGGAACTACAACTCTTAGTTTCTAGCCTGGTATCTTAACTACTACACCAAAACTAGCTCTCCACATTTTTGTCCAGATGGTAATTATATTTACAAATTATCTAAAATGGAAGAAATATCTGATCTAAATGTTCAGGCTTCTACATTGTGATTGCTGAAATAACTGGCTTTGCATTAATTGGAAAACATTGTGAACTGTTGATTTTCTTCTGTATTACTGAACTCAGTATAACTAGTTAATAATAAATTATTACGTGCCAAGATGACCTATCTAATTCTGCAGCTGTACCATATATAATAGAAAAGTTTGAATTGTCATCACCCAGTCATAAAGTAGGAGAGAAACGGCAGGGAGGGAAGGGATTGTCTTAATTTTTTAAAAATATCATATGTTTTTAACATTTACAAATTAAAAAGTCAGACAAAAAGAAGTTATAAAACTTATCATAGATATGAAAGAGGAGCCCAGTTTTAAACGTAGCATGGGTCACAAGGAGTAATATTGATCAGTCTTTCCATTATGTTCATAGCAAATTCATAAGCAGAGAGTAAATACATGGTCATAGGACAGCAATTTGGAAGGGAGAGAAAAAGTTCTATAATTATTTAGATTGGCCTAAAGTGTTCTTTGGATACCAGCCTCTTTGATATTCATCTATTATTGTATTCAAATGGCACATGGCTCTAGCCATCTGCTCTGTTTTTTCAATGTTTTGTGGGACTCGATATTCTGAGCAACAGATATTTAAGTCAGTTTATTTCGAGGAAGTATTTGAGACCAGATACTACTTTATAGACACCATAAAAATTTCATAGCATTTAATCAGTAGTGTTGGGTTACTATTTTCATTATTTGGACCACTGGAATAACTGATATGGACCTATGAGAATTGTATTCCATCATTCATAGAGAAAGGGCAATAGGTATATCTATAGCGACTTGAAATATTCCTGACAACATAAACTATAAATTAGCATAATATTTCAATTCTCTACATATGGAATGGTATTCTTCCTCATTGCTGAATCATTAACCATTGGTTATGAAATAGCCAGAATATATTTTCAATATTTCTAATTGCTGCTATTTTCATGTAGGTGAAGTGCATCTTTAAAATTCAGTATGAAGAGGTTTTTTATATTCAAAGACCGAGTAAAGAAGACAGGCTCAAATTTTTCCAAGAGCTGGTTCTCAATCAGGCATCAATGCCTCCTCCAAGGAGAAAACACACAGGTAAATTAATAATTTAGAAAATCTGGAATGTATGGCTTTTCCATATGAAAATCATATTGTTTGTATATTTGAACATTAAAAATAACACCAACAGACCATTATACTATAGGGGATTTATGTTCAAATATAATTTCCTAAGTCTTCAGTTTCAGCTTTGAGGTGGAATCAAAGTTCAAGTCCCAGATCTGTTCACAATTAGCGCCTAATACACATTGGAGACTGGAGCATGAAAAATTAAGTGACAAAGATTGCAGGTCATATCAAGATGAATGGTTAACAATTCCAGGATTATATTTCCAAACTGGGTAAATGCAAATGGGGAGTGAAATAACTAATATAAGTCACTATAAATGAAGGTGGAGTGCTGCTGATTTACATTATGATAGAACTTGAACTGGCAGTGACTAACCAGAAGAATATTTTTTTGTAGTTCAGTTAAAAATATGACTTGCATGAACGTTTTATGTAATAGCTCTGAAGAGGGGGGAAATTCATTGGTGAGGATAATTAGAAATCAAACCACACAATTTGTGACTTGTTGGGTCATTGTTGAATTTCCTTAAGGAAAGCTGGTAATGAGAGTTGGAAACCCTCCCTCCCTCTTCTTCCCTTCCCAGAACACAAGTAAGTTGCTGCTTCTGGGTGGGGGAGAGATCGAGGGGAACATACGAGGGACCAGGAAGCTGTCAAGGAATATTGAAAATCGTATGACTGTAGCAACATGGTGGAGGCGGCACTGAAGCAACAGCAGCCCAGTAGCATCGAAGCAGCCACAACCTCCCCATATTTCATTACTCTTGAGAGTAATGGGTCCTTGCATTTTTTAAATTAGCCCACTTGAGGTACTTTGGTTGAAATGTGATGCACTATTTTGCCCAGTTAAAGATTACAGACCCCAAAATGTTAGTAGTATATAGATAGTTGATAGTAGTCTTTGCCAATTTTTTAAAGCTATAAAGCTATCTGGCATACCATTACAAAAAAAACCTAAATGCAATGGGCTGAAAAAGTTGCATGCCTCTTATTCCCTTTGAAAATGCTTGAGTGGGATTTATAATCTCCCAGTTTATGGCTCTTAAGCCTGGTCCCAACTCCTTTTGGAATTAAGTGTCACAAATGTGTCTACTGCATAATCTTCTATAGCAACCTGTGGAAACTCTGGTCCTCCAATTCTTAATTTCTGAATTCTTGAATTTCTCAGTCCAACTAGCCCCAATTGGCATGGGCAGTAGTGGAGGAATGTTGGAAACTTGTAGAATATCTGGAGGAGCATAGATTCTCTGTGGTCTATACTCTGCACAGTTTTCCTGTTATTGATTAATATAAATAGCCACGTAGGAGCTTGAAATGCCTGCCATCATGTTTGGTGTCAATACCTCCTTGATTGAAAGAAGGATGAGTACAATTGCTTATTGTAAAGTTCTACAACTCACTTTACACTCAACATCTCAGTGGTTCTTCCATGATCTATAGAACTGAGATGAGGAGCATAATGGTTTGGGGTTTTATTATGTGGAGGTTATAATTAAAAAGCCTACTTTGTCTGACTTCAAGTTTTCTTTTAGCTGTTTCCGATATGGAGGTGCTTCCTCTTGCGCTGCCACCTCCTAATCGCCAGTTATCAGAGACAGAAAAGCAGAGAATGGAAGACCAGGAAGAAAACACATTGAGAGAGCTGCGATTGTTTCTCAGAGATGTTACCAAGAGGCTGGCTACAGACAAGCGCTTTAACATCTTCAGCAAACCGGTGGATATTGAAGAGGTCTTGTTTCAGTAATGTGCAAACAATGAAGTTGACCTACTAGCAATTAATCCAAAATTTACCTCTTACTTATTTTCATAGACAATATCTACATCTAACCTATTTTGCGCATTTTCAGGGATGGTGGCATAATTGTAACTCTTAAAGCCACAGCTATCTTGCCGTAAACATCTGGCTAACACTGCCTTATTCAGGCTGTAACTTCTATAATATGGCAATAATTTTAATTGGTCACAGAAATAAATGCCTGAAGAAACAACATTGAGCTATTGGAAGTATAAGAAAAAAATTAGTGAATTGTATTGCCTAATCCAGAAAATTCTGCAAATTGGACATTAATCTCTCCTCTTACTTTTTTCTAGCTGAAGAGAGAATTGAAAAATTAAAGGCTTTAGCTGCGCTATTTGATCTTACTATTTCTGTAATTATTGTATAACAAATTAACAAAAGGATTGGAATTGCCTAGTCAAGTTTGAGGCACTTTAAAAATGTTGGGCTTTGCACAGAAAAAAAATGTCATGAGGCAAAGCTGATACAGTGTCATTTGTATGGATAGGATGTCACTTTTTAGATAAATCTTGTGACATCTACTCATTTTGGTCAACTTCAGAGCTCAATTTTGCACAAATAATTCAAGAAATAAAAATTGTGATGTGCTTAGGAAAAAATGTAATTTCCATTATGCTAGCATGTATAGGGTTTGATTATTCATGGATAGAGCTAAAGATGAAGGCTGCAAAAATCCAGATCACCAGGTGGCAGCAAAAAGATACAGAAACTGAAAGGGAATTTTGCAATCCAGATCCCCTAAACATATTTACAGGGTACCATTTATGTGCTCTTATATGATTTAAACCAGCCTTTCTTATCCTAACTTTTTCAGGTTGTTCAATTATATTTTAATATTTCTATCAGCATGTGAATAATCTAACAAGTGAGGGTGCTAATTGAGAAAGGCTGATCTAAAGAAATGGTGCTTTGCAAGTGTATAACTCAGCTGGATTTTAATTTCAGAGAAGTAGTAGAAGTTAACACATTTTGGAGCCTAAAGTATATATAAAAGGTCTACATACCCCTGATAAAAAGCCAGGTTTTTGAGATGTTAAAAAAATCAGACCAAGATAAACCAGTTCCGAATTTTTTCCCACCTACTGCAAACTATAAGTTGTACAAGTCAGTTGAAAAATAAACTAAAATCTTTTAGCGGGAAAATAACAATACAAAACTAGAATAATGTGACTGCATAATGGTGGCCCACGAGCCGGATGCATCACATTCGACATTTACCCAGTTGCCTCTTACAACAAAAGCCATAATCTGCAAAGAGCTTACAACAGTGATATTATCAGGAACTTGATGTAGCTCTAAAATTCATGAAAATTGGTCCAACAGACTGCCAAAAGGCCTACAGCAACATTAAAGTTGCTGCAGGAGTTTTCTGGCAAATACTGGTTATGTACTCCATGTGATAACAATCACTTGTATTCTTCATATGGCTGGACTGTGGAGTAGGGTGGCAAGATGAAAGCCTTGTCTTACAAAGAAAAACATCCAAACCTGGTTACATACATCAAGTCTGTCAAAAGCATGTGGGAAAATGTGTTATGGTGTGATGAAACCAAGGTCAAACTTTTTGGCCATAATTGCAAAATATGTTTAACGCAAAAATAACACTGCATGCACATAAAAGAGGATCTAACCTGGGGTGCCCACATTGCAGCCCTGGTCAAAAGGGCCCAGCAGAAATTATACTACCTGAGACTTCTCAGAAAACAACAACTGAATGAAAAACTGCTGGTGACCTTCTACCGCTGTACCATAGACAGCATTTTAACATGTTGCACCTCTATATGGTTTGCCAATTGCACAATGGCAGATAGGAAAGCACTCCAAAGGGTTAATGTCATTGCCCAGAAGATCATTGGTTGCCCTCTCCCCTCTTTGGAAGAGCTTTATAGCTCCTGCTGCCTTAAGAAAGTTCAAAATATTCTCAAAGATACATCTCATCCTGGGCAACCCTTTTTTTTTGAACTATTACCATCTGGCAGACGGTAAAGAATAATAAAAACAAGGACAAATAGGCTGAAAAACAGCTTCTATCCCAGGGCAGTAGCTCTGTTGAATTCTACTGAATAGAAGTATTGGTGTGGTGTCGGGGGGTTTCGGTCAATGTGTGAAGGGTGAAGGATGTGTGTGTTTATTTTCATGGTCATGGTCATGATGTACACTGAAGATGGTGTTTGATATCGTTGTACGAGGTGCAGTGACAATACACTAAACTAAACTAAACATCATCAAAAGTACACCATACCCCCAGTTGAAGCATGGTGGTGGCAACATAATGCTTGGGGCTGCTTTTCTTCAGCTGGAATTGGGGCTTTTGTCAAGATAGAGGGAATGATGGACAGTTCCAAATATTAGTCAATTTTAGCACAAAGCCTCCAGGCCTCTGCTAAAATGTTAAAGATGAAGAGGAATTTCACCTTTCAACAAAACAACAAACCTAAGCGTTCTTTCAAATCAACAAAAGAATGGCTTCACCAAAATCTCAACATTTTGGAATGACCCAGTGGGAGGCCAGACATGAATCTAATTGAAAATCTGTGGGGTGACATGAAGAGTGCTGTGCACAACAGATGTCCCAGTAATCTGACAAATTTGGAGCACTTTTGCAAGGAGAAGAAAGGGCAAAGATTCCCAAGGCAAGATATGCCATGCTGATAGGCTCCTATCCCAAAAGACTGAATGTTGTCATAAAATCAAAAAGTGCTTTAGTTTAAGGGTGTGCATACTCATGAAACCATGTTATTGGACATCTTTATTATTTTTCTGGCTTAAAAGGTTTGAGTTTGTTTTTCAATTTTAATTGTACAACTTACGTTACATTAAAAATGGGGCGAAAAATAGGGGCCCTGATTATACAGTGGTTAGAATACATTACAGGCTAATTCAGTCCAGAGTTTGGAGTTTGATCTTGATGGGTCAAGGTTGACTCAGCCTTCCATCCTTCCAAGGTTGGTAAAATGAGGATCCAGATTGTTCGTGGCAATATGCTGATATTTTAAACAACCCAGAGAGTGCTGTAAAGCAGGTGACCCCCAACCCCTGGGCTGCAGCCTGTTTGCGCACTTGTATAGAATGGTTCCCATCTCCTTACTCCTGCAGGCTGCAAACCATAAAAGTTGGGGACCGCTATTATAAAGCAATATGGGGTGGTATATAAGTATAACTGCTATTGCTATCCTGGTCTGGGTTTTTTTTTTAACATCTCAGAATCCTGGCATTTTAACAGAGGTATGTATACGTACTAATTTATTTTAATTGACAGTTTATAATGGCAATTGGGAGAATATCAGTGCTGAAATCAGGATGAGCAAGAAGCAGTATTGTAAAAACAAAAATTTACACTAAAAAACAGACTTTTCAGGCTGAAAAGGAATGGATGCCAGAGTTTATTATTTTTTAAAATCCAGAATTCCATTGCTATATTTTCCAGCTCTCTACTTAAAAATGCACGTCTTTTAGTTTGGTGAGTGAGGTTAGAATGACTCATTCTAGAGTGCCTTGGGTTAAAGATTTTGCTTTTGAACCCATCTGGCTCTTTAAGAGTCATTTAGAAGGAATAAACAAGTCCTGAGGTTTGAAACTGTGATTGGTGGGTCATTCTGTCCTCTCCACTTGGTGAGGATGGAATTTCTTTCATACAATGCACTGACCGTCGGAGATATTTTAAGCAGTGAGCCTTCTTGCTTTAATGGCTTCAAAATCTCAGCCTGATGTCATAAAAAGAAACGGTAGCATTTTAAAGAATGGTGTATGTTTAAAGGGTGAAATTATTTTGATTAGTAATCATAAAGGGGTTAGTAACAAATGTGTCATAAATCATAATAGGAATGAATCATTAAAGTATTCCGTTATATACTGCTGCATATGTTGAGTCTGATCCAATTTAGGAAATCTTTTTCTTTTGAATATTATATAACCAAGAGAAAAAATAAATAAAAAGAGTTCAACATAATAAACTTTGCATTAAAATCCATTCCTGGCATATTATTGACATTTTAAGATTAACTATTGCAAATTTGTCTTCCGTTACACAAGACATTTAATTTTTTTCTCCTTTTCAAAACTAAGTAAAATTTGGCCCAGATTTGTTAATATGTAATTTTCTTTTGAGAGAATGGAATAAATGGATTAAATTAAGAAGGCATTTTCCCAAGTTAGATTTCTTGTTTTGTTTGTGCTATAGTTTGGTATTTTGCTTGAGTTTCTTGCATGTTGTGTGCTTTAGATTCTACATCCTTTGAATACTTCTGCACATTAAAAATTTTAATTATGAATATTTCAGTTTGTAATTCCTACACGGCCTCAAATATAGGATCTGCATAGCCCTGTAATAATTGATTTTACAGCTTTTTTAAAATAAGAGAAATTATCTCCTTTCCTTTCTTTTTCTTTCCTTTTCTTCACTAATATTTTTAGAGTTATTTAAGTTATATATTGGATTAATACTTTGGACACATTACTTCTAAGCAGGCATTATATTTTAAGAATGTTTCTACTGATTCAGTGTAACTGAGCAACCATATCTGATGCTTGTGCAGAGATCCACAAATGTTGACTAATTCTCCTGCCCCCAAATTAGAGTATATAGTAATATGGATGGCCAACATAAAAAGATCTGTCACGAGTAATATAGGTGAAATTTCACTTTTTTCCTAATTGTATAGCATAGCTTTGCCCAAAATATGTAATCTCTATTTAGACTTTTCAACACTCGTGGTTCCGTTTTTAACTGGTAATGTAAAAACTTGCTAGGTCTTCTAAATACCATAGAAATATATGTGAATGGGCTTCTTTAATATTTGTTTGAAGCCTTTTATTCATACACTGTATTTAAAATGAATTTTTTTAAATTACTTGTTTTATACAAAACAAGATGACTTTGGTACAAGGAAATGTTAAAATTGTGCTGAAACCTCAGAGTAAATTAATTTCAGAGTGAACGGAGCAGCATAATATATTGATTATATCAATGCTAGTTGTAGCCTTGATTGTTCATGTGTTTTGAATGAAACATTCTGAAAATGTAAATAAGTTGTCGAATATAAGAGTTATGATAAATCTGTGTTGCTCTTGCATTTTTATTATAGGTTTCAGATTATCTTGAAGTGATCAAAGAACCAATGGATCTTTCTACAATAATAAGTAAAATTGATAAACACAACTATTTAAGTGTAAAGGATTTTCTAGTAGATATAGATCTCATCTGCAGCAATGCTTTGGAATATAATCCTGACAAAGATCCTGGAGGTAAGAAAATATTATTTCAACTTTTACTTAAATATGAAAGAATATTTAACTGTAAAGCAATTTCAGCTTAAATATCTGTGTAAATGGCTTCCTATTGATATAAATTGTTTGAAAGTTAGTTTTGCCAGAAGTGTGTATTTGATGGTGTTAAAGGATGGAAGCTGTTCTAAATAAGGTTACCTTTTGCAATTGACTGATGGTGATTTTCTCAATGTGGAGGGTGTTCAAGTGGTGCTTCAGACATTTTGGAATTATATCCAAAGCACCTATTATTATTATCTTTGTTTCTTTTGCCAGAGTCTTTCTACTTCTATTTGCAGGTCTTTGTATTTTGTTATTTTCTCCAGTTGTTTCCTGTTAGTTTGTTATAATTAGATACTTATGTATTGTGTAAAGGTCCTCAAAAAAATTCATGGTCACATAAATGGCCAATATCACCAGAGACAGATACTATAGTGATCTCTGTGTTACCAGTTCTTTCATCCAAATCTTTTCAAGAGTGTATAACGTTTCCTGCCCGTTGGGAAGAATTCTGATGATTTAATAGCTTCAAGGGGAAGAGAAAAATTAATTGCATAAATAAGTATCATTTAAAGTTAATTGCCTATAAAATAAATTACCTACTTTTAAAAATTGATTGATTCCTGTCTAGATATGCCATTTGGTCTTCTTTTCCCACACAGAAACACATTACCACATACACATTACAAATATACATCCAGTATCCTTTCAGAAGAAACAGACAAACAGAAAAAAGTAAGGCTAGCAATGGGGGAGAAGTGCTGCGGGGAGGGGAAGAAAGAGAAAAAGACGGGAGAAGACCAGAATAGATGTGAGGGTAGGAAAAAGCATGAAATGACAGACGAATAGTAATAAGGTTAAATTCACCAGGCCAACTGTTAGTTGCACGCAACAACTGATTGTTAGGCTATGACAACCCCCAAAACAGCAACAATGACGAACGCCATCTCGGGGTTGCCATACCTGGGGAGGGAGGCACAGAAGGTGGGTGGTGGCTAATGAAGCTTCAGATCTTCGGCCCTTCAGTTGCGAGCAGCAAGTGGCAAGCTGAACCGGAGCAGAGCCGATGGGCAACTGATCCCGCGTGCCTATAAGCAACTGATCGAGGCTGCCTGCAGCTGGCTGACAAACATCTGATTGGCTTGCCAGATGTTCAGCTGCTCCAGCAGAGAAAGGGCAATGTTCCAGCCTTCATAGGGCCCTAGGAGTCAGAAGCTTCCAGCGCTAACTTTTTTCCTTTTGAACTGAATTCACTGTGTGCTGAGATTCCAGTGAAATAAACCATTGGGAAATCACAGCGAGTGGCATCTTGCTTTGGTTTTCGTCTGGAGCTCGGACCATTGAGAGGCTAATTTTCAGACGCATCATTCATTTTCTGCTTTGGTTTTGCAGCCAGTGACGCATCCTGTTCATTTTCTGTTTTTCTTCTATTATGTGGGGGAAAAAACTTATGTTGTCTTTCTATTTACATTCTATTTACTATTTGACTCATGCTGGAAATATGATTTCTTTGTCCTCTGTTAATTGCAGTTTGATGTAAATAAGTCATTTTTTTCCTATGGTACTTCTATATACCTATACCTCCTAGGGCAAAAATGATTAGAAATCTGAAAATCAACAAAAAATGTCTTTGTGGTGCATTATGATACTATAAAGTTATATTATACTCATTTTATAGATAAAATTATTAGACACAGAGCCTGTACTCTGAAGGATACGGCACATGCGATCATTGCTGCTGAGCTGGATCCAGAATTCAACAAAATGTGTGAAGAAATTAAGGAAGCAAGAAAAAAACGAGGTATTATAATCCTGGTTTTATTCTGTATTATTGCTATGGTAGGGAAAATGTATAAATGTAATTGAATTCTTGATAGACTGTCTCTAATGAGCCTATTGTCAGAAGAATTTTTGAACTGTATTGTTTTTTAATTTACATTATTTTGATTTGGAGAGTGGACCCTTTAAGTCCAGTTTGTAAATTTAATGCTGTTTGTATGATCCCCAGTTCTCAGTTGTTAGAGAAATATTCATTGGACACCCATTATAAGAAAAGTTTATATGCACAACAATGTGTATTATTCATCCTTCTCTATAGTTCCTTCCTTTGAAAAAGGACACATAGATTCCAGTGAGCTGAAGTCATCAGACAGAATATTTGTAGTACTAATTATTTGTAATAAAACTTGATGAGGTTTGTTCAAGTCGCTGCTGGAAGACTAAGCAAATTAATAATCATGCTTATTTTAGATGCTACCTTAAATAATGGTTTTAGAATACACGAATCAACTTGTTAAGTTGAATATTTAAATTCAAATAACTCCCAACATGCAGGGAAAAAATCAATTTGTCTCAGGAAATGCTATTTAGAAAACACAAAAATGAGATGTATCTTTTTGGAATAAGAAATCTGAAGACTGCTGCGGCACTGTACCAAACTCAAGCATTTCAGTAGAGTGTTCTTTTTTTTTTATGTTTGTAGGCATTTTTGCAGTTTTATACATTTGTTCCACAGATGCTTTTAACAATAGATCCAGTTTAAAAATAGATTTTTAGCTTCTTCCTAAGTGGCTTTTGCAAGACCAATTATAATTATATCTGTTTAACTTTAATATTTGAATAGATAATGGTAACCTTTAGCTTTTTCTGCAATCCCGGGCATTGATAGCCATGAATGCATTTATCTGATCAGGTCAGCTGGCTACTGCCCTCCCCTCCATGGACCTTCCCAATGACTGTTCCTTTTTGAAGCATAGTGTGTTCTCTGCCCTTTCTGCCTCCACTAATCAGAGAGGCAAACACAAAATAATCCAAAGCTTGTTTTAGTTTTGTTCCTTTGGTTCACAGCAGGTAGCAGCTACAGGCAAACGGCATAGTAATTGTTACACAAGCTAGGCTGCGGGAAGAGGCTCAAAGAATTTTAAAATGAGCTAGCAATGGCCATGGAGGGGTTATAAGAGAAGAGGAGAGCGGTGAGGTCGGTCTCATTCATTATTGAATATAAGTCAGGTTTGTTGTATCAACTGAACAACATTTTAACCTTAGGCCATTTAACATACCATGGGATAATATCCAAGATCCTTCAGCAGCATATGGTGGGTGGAATATATTTCTGCTACATCTTTTCCTATGTCCTCAGACACCTCTCCAAGGAAAAGTGAAACATTCAAAGTGAAGAGAGAGTATACTGTAATGGATAATTGCATGGAAGATGTTCTATGAAGGAATCACAAAAGTGCTTCTTATTTCTTTTTAGTACACAATCTTTTACTCTCAGTTCACGGAGCTGTACGCTCCATTCTCTTCATCACAGATCCCTGCTACATGGGGTCACTGCAAGAAGCATGGAACAAAAGAATACATTTCTGTTTTTCTTCTGCTCGTAGATATTGAATCCTATCTAATAGCTGCCTATTAACAGTTTGCCATATTTAATTAATTACAAATAGTATATATTTGTAAACATTCTCGCTGATTTCTGTGACACAGGCATTGTAAAATCTCTTATTTTCGCAGGAGAACAGGGATCATTTTATTTTAGAAAGAACACTGGAAGCATTTTATAACGATCATAATCAGTTTATAAAGTTTTATAAACTTTATGATCATCCATATAAGTGTTTGAATTTTTAGGTAGAGTACTGAATAATAGTATAATTAATGCGGTATCATCAAGGTTATTACTCTGAAATTATCAGAACATTTTTAGGGTTATATGTATGACAAAATCCTGCTTCTAACGATGCCTATGTATGCGAAGTGAAGGAGATGTAGATAGTCCTTGACTTACGGCAATTTGTCCAGCAACTGTTCAGAGTTACAGCAGGCCTGAGTGAAGGGATTATGACCAGTCTCTGACATTACAGTTGTTGCAGCACCCCAGCTGTCACGTGGCCAAAATTCAGGTATTTGCAGCCTGCCTATACTTCTGATTCAGGAACACTTCAAATATCCCTACCTGCCTCTCATCTTCCCCATTTATGCCCTTTTGCCCCTCCCCTCCCCCCAGGCCAAGCACTCTGCGGTCCTGATGCCCTACTGACTTTTGCCATCTTCTTGCTTCCACCGTTGACTGAACTGTTACATTTTTAACCCCTTCCAAAAGGGCCTGAGGGCTAGTTTTCTGTTCATCTTTTTACAGCTAACCTTTTTCAGAACTTCAACAAATTTCTTTTGTTTATGTAATAAGTAAATTTTGTTCATTTGTTTGCCACCTCTAATAAAGTTGTTCCACACTTAACAGAGCCTTGTGTATATCCAATAAAAAAGTTATCCAAGTCATTTTCCTGATTCAGTGATAATTCAGTGCACCTCCTTTAATGAAATAAGTAATCAACCAGTTCCATTTGTATGCCCATTTCTTTCTCCATATCTTTCTCCTTTTTTATCATATTTAAATCCCTCTTCAGAATAATTTCAAAATTACCAATTGCAGCTTGTTCTAATCACTTCATTAGAACATAGTCTGTTTTATCAAAACATTCAGCAGACCAGTATTCAAAAACTTACACTATGCTCTATTCTTTTCTTGATTCTCTAGCTCCCTCTAGGGTCCAAACATCAAGATACTCTTTTCATAGAAAGACCCCAAAACAATAATCATTTCCCATGGGAAAATTTCTTCTAATAAATTCAAAACTATAATTCCAAATCCATTTGGAACCCTTAATCCTCTATTAGCTTTCTAAAATGCTTATTCCAAGCACCCTTTTGCATTACAAGTGTGCGTTTGATGGAATCCCAGTTCTTGGACTCTTATATAAGCCAACTGCAAAATGGCAGTTCCTGTGGTCTATTCACAAGGACTTGCTGGGACATCTCTCTTTCCTCCAGAGAGATTTTGCCAGCCTGGATCCAGCCTCCCATTGCAATTCTTCTCATAAATGTGATCCAATTATCACATGACTGCTGTGGCAGTCGCAGGAAGTCGTTTTCTATAAATCTTCCTCTTCCTATCCTGAGTGCAGGGTTTCAGATTTTTGCTCAGCCATAATTTTTTATCAGTAATCTGAGCATGTTTCTCATCGCTCTTGATTGACACTCCCTAAAATTGTAGTAGCAATCCTCCTGAGATGGAGGTAATGGTGAGAAAAGAGCTATAAAACACTCTGCAAGCCATTGAAGCTACAGGAGTCATAATTAAAATGTGTACTGTCTTTTACTGGAGCTGTAATGGTGTTTTATTGACAAATAATCTACAAAAAAGCACCTGGGTACAACCTTTGCCAAAACATTAAATAACAGTATATATGGTGTAAGAAAAAAACATTGAATTGGATGTACATTAAATTAAGGTCTGTTGAAATCAGAGGAATTTAAATTAGTCATGATTTACTTGTCCTATTGATTTTTAAGGATTAAAGCATAATTAATTCACTTCCTGGAGAAGCTAAACAACTTGGAGCACAATTTATTGTCAAAGTGAAATAGTATTTTAACAAGTAGCATAGTTCTGTCCCTTTTTCTTTGTAAACGAGCATTAACACCTTTCATAGAACTTACTCATAGGACTTTAGGATTACAGCACAGAAATTAAGTTACAAATCATGCTAGAACCAAACGTTTACTCTTGAATGATTGGATTATTTTATACAAACTATCCCATTCTAAGTTTAATCCTCGTGTCCAATATGGGGTTAATATTTTATCCTTGGCATTGTAGAGTGGATTACAGCACAATTATAGGATGAAGAGAGGTATGTTGAGAGAGCCATGGAGTGTTGTTGGGCAAAGCCCAGGATAGCTTTTCTATTGTTGCCTTTACCCTGTGGAACATCATTCCTATTGAGGTGCGGTTGACCCCAAGCCTCCTTGCCTCCAAAATGGTTTTTGTCAGCTAGTTTGAGAATCCCTGATAGGAATCCGGAGCCTGCTAGGTGAGTGACTATAGGAGGGTTAAGGCAATATACTCTCTGTATGTTTGGCTGCCATGTTTTTGCATGCCAACCAGCCAATCACCTGACCACTCTTAGGATATTAAACTTTGTGTATAAGCCAAATGAATGTTCCTTAAAACAGTTTTTAGATAGGTTTGAAGCTCTATGTCTGATGCAGAGATGGTATTCAGCAGGATCTGACCAGTTCTGAAGAACCAGTAGCGGAAATTTTGAGTAGTTTAGAGAACTGGTAGCAGAAATTTTGAGTAGTTCGGAATACCACCTCTGACTGGCCCCGCCCCCATCTATTCTGTGTCTCCAAGTCCAGCTGATCAGCTGGGTCTTCTTTTGTTGCCCTGCACAGGAGAACAGAGCTGGAAAGCAGGTTAGTGGGGTGGGGGGGGGAATGGGATTTTTCCCCAGGAACCTTCCCCCAGGAGTGGGGAGGAATGGGGATTTTGCAGTATTCTTCCCCTGCCACGCCCACCAATCCATGTCACTCCCACCAAGGCACACCCACAGAACCAGTAGTAAAAGATATTGAATCCCACCACTGGTCTGATGCTTGTGTTTGTTGGAGAAAAGTAAAAGTTTCTTGATGTAAATATTTTGTGTAAATCTGTGTTAAGGTAAACACAGTTAACTGTTGTGTAATTTTTAATATAGTAATCCAGCAGATTTCCAAAACTTGGCTGGTTAATGCTGCTCGGATTATTGAAATGTGTTTACCTTCTGTGTTTACTTTCTGTGCACAGGCTTATCAGTTGTAACAGAGCAAACAAATGCTTATAGTTCCACTGTGCAGAAAACAGAAAACAGAGCTGAAGACGCATTCCTGAACCGGCAAAAAAATGCAATGACAGTGTGGCACAATTCTGCAAACAAATGTGCATGTGAGTATTTCAGATTATTTTGTGTGACCAGAAGACCATCTGAGGATATCACGTGAAAAGACTCTTTGTTCTTTCTTCCTCCTCCTTTTTCACCACCATTTCAGTCACTACCTCTTCTTAGATTGTTTTGGCAGTGAAAACAGTTTTATTAGCCTTTTAAAAACTTAATTGGATATACTGTTCTCATATATGTGGAAGAGATCAACTTTCAATCATATGAATACATTAAAAGAGATGAAAGAACTTTTAATTGGGAGGGTTTTGCTTGGACCAGTTTTGTACACTAGATTTTTAAAATATTAGTAGTATTATGACAGTTGCAGAGTTCTGGATTCGTGAGATCACAATTTGCGACTTTCTTTACCAGTAACAGCACATTTAAACATTGCAATAAGTTAATACATATGATCAAGAAATGAATCACCACATTGCAGAGAAATCAAGAACTTGAATGCGTCCTCTTCAGATGTTTTGTTCTATCAAATGTCTGTGGAAAGGCTTTTGAACATTCTTAGCTTTAGACATCTGAGTTCCTTTTGGATACCATAGGAAACTAAATTCCTATACTGTACCTGTTCATGCAAATCTGATATCATGTATTTGTTTCCTGTCTGTAATTATGAGGTTTTTTTTTTAAAAAAAGTCTTGCTCAGGTTCTTGAGAACTAGGAAAATAAACAGGGAGGAGGGGGGAATTGGTCTCGTAAAAGCCCCAGGGTGCATTAGAATGTCATCATGGGAAGTAGATGATGTTTTTTCCATTGTTAGAGCTTATAGATAGAATTGCTCGAACTAAATGTATGAAGCCCAAAAGAAACTTTTGGACTTTTAGTCTGAATTTTATAAAAAAAAAAAATTTGTGAAAAAGTAAAAAAAAAAATCCACCATTTTGTGACCAAATTTTAGCAGTATGAGGTAGGTGGAGTCTGAAGGTTGCTTGGGAAATGTAGGCTTTGAGGAAGAAACACTGTATGTTGTTTGCATGTTTTCATCTTTAAACAAAGAAATTCAAGATCTACTTATTTTCTCATTTAAATATGGAAATTGCAATGTGATTGGGTGGGAGGATGTGATTAATACAGGATTCAATCGGAGCTGATCACCACAACCAAAGGTTTATTCTTCCTAGCTTTCAGGCTCAAGCTGTAGCACATCGTCAGGGAACGTCTCTCTCTCCAGAATATTTGCACTGGGCTGTTTGTTCTGTGTGTTGTATTTGTTTGGTTCCTGGTTGTGGATGGCTTTTAGCTGCTGTTAATTGGAAGGTGGATGTCTGGCTATTAAGTCATTAATTGTTGCTTCCATGTGCCACAGCACAAGCTTCTCTCTCTCTCTGTCTCTCTCTCACACACACACAAGTTGCTAGTTTCCTTACTTATATTTAATTTTAAAAAATTGTATTTTCACTCAATACTGGGTGAAGTGCACATTATGAAGTTTGGGAATTAAAACATATTTCAAATACAACTATATTAAATATAAATTTTACTTAGTTATAGAATCTAGATTGTTGCTTAACATTGCCAGTAGATGGTGTCAAAAGCACATTACTTTACATTTTCAATGATGCTGTTTAATTATTTAGCTCACTTGCTTGATTTTAGGTTGTATCTGCTGTTGAATTTTGACTTGAACGTGTAAAATTGGTGAAACCTCATGGACAACTATTTTGCCTTAAGGCTTGAGACTTACCCTTGCCCAAATGCATTTTCAGAAATATCCTCTGTAAACAGTGTCCAATAGCCCATAAGACTTTCAGTCATATATAGACTGGCCCACTTGAAAGGACAAAGTTCTAAAAATGTGCTCCCAAAATATTAGAAATATGTGCCAACTTTTGTTTTTTTCCTTAACATTGCCAGCCCATTTTCACATCAGAAATGTAGTTCTTTCTTTTGTAGATGACAACTAATATTCTCAAGATACAGACTTATTTTGTCTTTCTTGTTTGGCCTGACAGAATGCACTTCAAGTCTTCTCTTTTGTTGCATTGCTTAAATTGCTAGTTCTGATTTTAATGAGAAGCTCTGGCTTATTGAAGAATATATAATTTACATATAGAAAGGTTTGGGTTCAGCTTCTCATATCTCATGGTAGAATGGGAGTTTCTTGTAATTCTGAAGAGGTAGCATGAAGATTATTGGTTTTAGAGAATTTCCTAATTGGACTGCCATGTGATAGTAGTCACAATTATACTTTTAGGAGATTCATTCTAATTTAAACTCTCAAATTCTGTAATATCTTTGAATCTTATTTTATAAATTAGAAATTGGTTTGGTTATTTGATCTCTGTTAATGGCTTCTTTTTCTCTGAAGAAAAGCTCTTTTAAGTTTCAAATTACTTCTCCACCCACATCTTAAAATTGAATTCTTAAATAGAATCATATAGACAGGATAATGCTTGTTCGTAAGATATCAGAAATTGAAAATGTTTCCTGTTTTGCTACATATAAAACATTGTTTTTCTGTTAAATTTATAAAAGTTTGTACCTGCTTTAAAACAGACACCATGGCTGTGAAGGTACTGAACTTTGACAATAATTAATCCATTTTTAATTTACATTTTTAATAATATTCTTTGATTTCTGCTTCGTGGATTGATTTTCAACACATAATTATTACAATTCTATTTTTAAAAAATATAAAAACTGCCTCCAACTTTGTTAATCCACCCTGCAGTAATGATCATTCTATTCGGGACAGCAGAATAAAATATTTCTATTCAGAAGTTTTCTGCAATATTTTACCTGGAGTAATGCATGTACAGGTTTTAAAAAAAAACATTTTTAGAATCAAAAGTACTTTGGATGACCTTAATATCACCATGGTAGATGGTATTTTAACATTACAATATTGACTTTATTAATACCTTATTCTTAGCTTAAAAAACATAAATGTCAAACAAATATTTAAATATCTAATAATGAAGTTGATTAAATAATTGTCTTTTCATGATACAGTTCGATTGAGAAGGAAATCAAGACGACGTTCACAGTGGGGGAAGGGCATTATTAAAAAGAGAAAAGTGAATAATTTGAAAAAAGATGAAGATGATGCCAAATTTGCAGATGATGAAAATCCAGTGGACGATAACAAACTCCTGGAAAATGGGGAGCTTGAAGGAAGCATCGACTGCACTGAGGAGAACGGAGAGGAAACCGGAGATCTTTCTCTAACAAACGATGAGTCATCATGTGATGTCATGGATATACATGGAGAACAGAGACTTGATAATGGGACAGTCGGGAAAGAAAATAGCATTCCGTCTACAGAAGAGAGCTCCAATGAATCCTTGGTAGTAAATAACAAGGTTATGATCAATGTAGAAGGAGGCTCTAAGGAGGAGTTGGGTTCCCAGAGGGACCATCTAAATGGTGAGGCCTCTGAAGGCACACCTCTTCTACCATGTCAGTATGACAAATGTGAACCGTCAAATGTCAGTCTCATTGTTGATATGGGTACGCCCAAACAAGTGGTAACAACTGATGACCACCCTCCCCCAAAATCAGAGGCTTCAAATTATAGTCCAGAAGGAGAACATGTACTACAACAGTCTGGTAGTGAGATATCACAGTGCAGCAATAACGAAAAGAAATCACCAAGCACAGATATGGAAACTAAAGAAACGGAATCAGATAAAGAAGGTATATGAAATATATATTACTTTTTGTTCTTTTCCTCATCTCATAATTGAGGTAAATGCAGAATAGGATTTCAGAAATGATTTGAAAGAAGTGTTTTGCACAGAAGCCCGGAAAAAGGTGAGCACTTGAATTCTGCACACCGCTAGTACAAAATATTTTGCTTGTAATATGTATCTCTCTCTCTTGATTCAAATCATTTTTGACCAAGTTTATCTTGGCTTCAAGACACAGTGAAATTTCAAATCAACCTAGATTAAGCCTTTGCTTCCCAGCTTCTGAGTTCATGCATCTATCCAGTTGATCAGATATTCTGAAGTTTTCATAAATTATATTAATTTATAATATTATTAATATTTATATATTAGGAAAAACCTCAGAATATCTTGTTAACTTGATAGATGCATGAATTCAGAAGAAGTTGGGAAGGAAAGGCTTAATCAAGGTTGATTTGAAATTTCATTGTAACCTCCCATTTCTACGAGGGGAATGATATTTATAAAAACCAGATTGTAACATTAGCCTTGATGATGAGTTGGAGACAGGAAACTGATGAAAAATAACTAAAAAGCCAGTTGTCATTGTTTCCACTTTATATATAAATAAGCTAGCAAGAACTATATAAGTCTAAACATTTCCATTTAATAAATTTAGCTCCATTGCTTGGAATGCAGTTGAATAACATCTTAGAATTATTGTAATCTTATCCATATTTATTTGCAGGTACATTGAAAAATAAGAAACTTCGTAAAATTGCTTTGACACAAGTTCCAGAAGAACAGTTAGATCCTATACCTCCTGTAGTTGTTGATCGTGTCAGACTAATGGTAAGGTTAACTGGATATGCAATCTTAAATCTTAATACCAACATTTTGTTCTTTCTCTTTTCTTTTTCCCAAGTATCTGTTATAAAATTAAAAATGTGTCCCCTTCTTTTTCACTATATAATAAATGTATTTCATAAGGTCAAGTTGGATCAAATTATTATAATTTAGCTCAACCAAAAAATGAAAAATCTCTTAATATATAGAATTTTGAAATAATTTTAATTGTAAATTTGAGTTTAAAAATTCAAAGATTAAAAATTATACAAAGAAAAATACAAAAAAGATGGAAGTGCAGAGAAAAGAACTATGGGTAAGGCAAGAAAAATATATAAAAGAAAAAAGGAAGAAGTATATAAATAAATCACTTCCCCCTTCATCAAGAGAAGTGCAAACAATTTCAGTAACTTATCTTCTCTAACATCTCTAACAATCTCTTCATTCCATACTTATGTATTCGCAATCAATAAAGCCTTACCATTTAATCTTAAATCAGCAAAAATCCATTAAGAACTACCAGAAATAACAATAACTATTTTAACTTTAAATCTAGTAAGTAAATTTCATAGTCCTTTCACTTACTTACACAATAACACAATTTTCTCTAAAAACACAAAGGAAATATTTTCTTCCCAAGTCTTATATCTATAAACAAATCTTTAAAGCATCATCATTCAAAGTTAATCAGAAAATATTCCATACCAGAGACAATTACCATACTGTAATTTAACCCCATCAAATAATGTCCCACAAATTATTTTTTATTACCTTCTCTTCATTTCCTTCCAGAAATTCCTTTGCAAATGTAACTTCAATTTTGATACCATAGTTTATCACTGTCTCTAAAAATGCAACAACAAAAATATCTTCTTCCCATATCTTATCTATAAACAAATCTTCAAAGCCTCATTGTTCAATCCTGCACATAGTTAACAATCACATAAAACAGTTATTAAGCAAAGTGTTACACTGCCTCCAAACTTAATGCTGAGCTTTTTCCAAACTTCTCTTCATAGAATTTACTCGATTTATTGGTTAAAAAAAGTGACAACTTGACAGTTGACCAGCTGGAGAGGCTATACTCTCTACTTAATCAGTGCATCTATCGGCATCGTAAAGATTATGACAAATCGCAACTTGTACAAGTAAGTTTGCAACCCTTTTTTTAGAACATGCTGTAAGGGATTCATCTGATCATCTTAAGTCAAGGCAAGCCCAGCTAGTTGTGTCTCAGGGAGTTTCTGCTAGCAGAAAAACAAATGTTATTTTAAAAGTGTTTAGACTACTTTGTTAAAAAATGTTTTGGTTTTTTTTTTTTTCATATTCAATATTATTTATATTTTTTTAGCATAAGATAAGAACATGAGAGAAGTAAACATATGCACATTGCCCAAATAAATTATTTGCAAAACATAACCGGAATCCAATTCAGCTCTCCAGGCGATCGCATCTGGCGTTGCTTCGTGCAGTCCTTCTAGGGAACACACATTGTGGGCAATCATGCATAATATGTTTAATTGTTTGCATATCAGCATCACAATCACAACAAGAGGAATCATTCCAACCCCACTGATTAAGGGCAGAGGCACTTCTTCCAGTATTACACCTAATTCTATTCAATTTTGTCCAGAAATTGCTTGTATTGCATTAAATGTTATTTAAACACTTTGAGCTCTATTTGGAAAAGAAGAATCAAGATTTTAGCAATTGGTAGTTGTCAATTTTTTAATTTGGTAGTGAAAATGTTGTTACGGTATTGATTTTTGGAATGCTGTGCTAGAGCAAAATTGATTATTGAAAGATGGATCCATGATTGATTGATAACTGTCTACGTTTCCTAAGGTCAAATGGTATTGGTGTGATTTCTTAAGGTTAAACATGTATCTATGAAGTGATTTTGTGGAATAGAGTATTAAACAAATTAAAACATCCAATTACATCCTTCGTGAAATATATTCATGAGAAAGTTTATCTCAGTATTCTAAGAGTAAAATGTAAAAATTGTCACTTTCCTATTTAATTTATCATTTAAGGAGCACTAGACAAAGCCAGACAAAATGTCATTTTTATTAATGTTGGATGCTCTGGTTTAAGTAAAGTTTATCCAAATTATAGTGCAAATTGTCTCTGAGCTTTTGGCACTACTTTGAAGAGCATGGAAGTTCTTAGAACCCTAACGAGACTGAAGTCTCCTTCTTGAGACTTCTGTAGAGAAATGTTATTGTTTAACATTATTGATGGTGAATAATCCAATAATCTTGTTTCCTTCCAGGAAATGGAAAGAACAGTTGATATGTTTGAAACATTCCTGTGAACACATTTCTCCAAGTTGTGCAGGTTTGTCTTTTCATTGGCTGCTCAGGGGAGAGCAGCCTTCTGAGCCATTCGCTTTCCACTTGCACCAAGTATATGCAGAGCCTTGGTCTTAACATGCTCGCTCTTGGTCTCACGTTCTGTTATGAATTTGGTGCTATCGTCTCAGGTAACTGAAACCAGCCAGCCTACAAGAACCAAACAGAACTTCAAAATATTTGTATCTTGATATAAATAAAGAATATAATGCCACAACACAGAGATTTTTTTGGTGCTACAGAAACTGCTTTCATTTCTGCTGTCTACATGTGTTATCTTATGAGAAGTTTCAGGCAAAACGGAGCAGGCTGACAAAACACCCACAAACTGGATAGAGCAGATCTGATTATTTAAGTGGGCAATTTCCAAGATTTGTTTTTCTTTCTTTCTTTTTATTCTCTGAGGTAAAGGACAGAAGCCTGTTTTTAAAGCTGGCAGTGAAGAATTGTGGTACAAAGGAATTGACTTCGGTATACAATAATATGAAGATGAGGCTCTTTAGAGCTGCCTTCAATGTGCCTTTTTAGTCAGTGGTGATGGTGGAGAAGGAGGAGGAGGAGGAGGAGGAGGAAGTTATTAAAAAGTTGAGATTGTAGCCAATGACAGAGTTAGTTATTTTTAAAAGCCTGTGTTCCCAAAGAACAGATTCAGGTTCCTGCACTGTCAAATGGCAGCCAGTAGTATTTTTTAACATTTCTCTGTTGCTCTCCAGGTGATCCAAATTATGAAAATAAGTTTAATCTCATATTATCTTGAAATGATAAGATACATTCATTTCTAAAACAAATTTATACTCCTAAAAAAAAAGTCTCACTGTGGATATCTAAGATGGTTGTAGTTATGTGGGGTCCTTTTTTGTTGTTGTTGATGTTGCTCCATTTTATTTGTTTAAAGTCCTTAAAAACAGGTTTCTTTTTAAACTTCCATTAGTGTGGAAGTGAAGATTTGCTGGGTGGTCATAGACAGGAAAGGCAAGTAGGTCCTGCAGTTCTTCATCTCCGTATGAATTAGACCAAACTGATTCACCCCAATTCATTTTGGGACAGTATTAAAGAGGAAATGACCAAGTAGCCTTAAAGGGTTAGTTCTTGAACCTCTGAATTCTGCCCCTGAATTATTGCCGTTCTCCAGAGCTCAGTGATAGTTTTCAGACACTTTTCCTGTTTTAGGAATTAAAGGAAGAGGACATTCCAGGCAGCCAACAATCTGCTACACTCAGATTTGTTTCACATCAACATGTAAAGATCAGCATGTTTCCGTGGCTTCTCTTGGTCTTAGTGTCATCTATAAACTAATATCCCTTTATAATATAAGCTGTAGTTGAGGGAGTACAGCCCCCCCCGCCCCCCCAACATATGCAGTTCATTGTGTTTTGCTTCCAAGAAGCAAAAATGAAATCACTCAATGTTGGACTACTGCAGAGATGCTCAGCTACCTCAGCTTTTTTGTATTTCAGTTACCAACAGTGTTTACGGGAGATTGTAATCTGCCCTGCTGCCATTTACATGCTGAAGCTTAAGGTACTTGTCACCCCGTGTGCTGGCCGCAGCTGAGAATCCGGCCCTGGCTATCGGCTAGACCAGTAGTTCCTTCCCTTTTTTTTTTTTCTTTGCAAGTTGACATCCGAGCCTGGTCCTTCTAGCTGAGCTCCCCAGGCCAACCTCGCTCGCTCGCTCACTGGCTCCTGGGTCCCTGAGAGGCATTGAGGGGATGCTATTCTGAATGTGACTTCTGTAGAAATGCTGTATTTTTAGATGGGAAAGTGCGATTAAAATCAAAACGTTTTAAATTAGTACTTCGTTTTAGAAACTTGATTGGGGGGACTTTCTCATTTTTTTCTGTCAATATTTATTGCCATTATATCTGCTTAGGCCATTTCTCTGTCAGTCCATTAGCATTTTGTAATATGATGAGGATTGTTATAAAACTTTCAGAAATAAAATGTAGCAGATTTTTTGTAGCAAGTTTCTGGTAAAACAATTTTTTGCAAGTCTCAGGTTCTTGCAGCATTTTTTAAAGATATTGTAGTTCAACGATTCCTTAGTTCATGTAGCACTTGTGAGAAGAAAAACTGCATACATTTTTAACAGGTTGTTAAATTTGTACAAGTTTAAATCCTTTAAAATAGTTGTCAAATAATTTTCAAAAGGGTATCTTAAATTCAAGTCTGGCATTAAGAATGCTTCCGGTTTATCAGTTGAGGGGGAAAATATTTGTAGTTTTTAATGTTGATAAAAAGAAAAGTGAGGAACTGCCTCTAATTGTTATAGATTTTTGAGAAGAATTAGCTTCTATAAATGTGTTAGTGGGCAACATGAATAAAATTATATATCCATCCTTCTGGCTCCAAAACCACACTAACCATGTATTACTTTTCTTTATTAATAGCTTAGCAATTGTAAAGTTAAACCTGTTATTCTATTCATGTTGTCAGGTCACCTCTCTTTGTATTTTTGTTCTTGTTTTGCCACAGAGAATTGGCAATAAATTCAATTCCTGTATCTTGTTATGAATCACCAATGAGCTCCTGTGCAAGGCCACATCCTAGGCCAGGCGGAGGTTAAATTTCTGTGGGGATAATGATGAAACTGCTCTAAGATAACCATGGCTGTGGAGTTAATTGTGTTTGCAAGCTTGAATTTCAGCTGTGATTAATTTATGTTTTGTGTTTTCAGTCTTATTATTTGAGTTTTCTCATATGCCAATGTATTTATTACATTACTGGGTGATTGGTTTTGTTTTGTTTTGATTTTGCTAACAATTTACATTCCCATGTTTTATTTACATTTTTTTTCTTTTAGTTTTTGTTAAGTTGGAGGTCATATTTGGATATGTGCAGCAACTCATAATTCTCTCCCTTTTATATAAATTCAACATTAAGCTTGAATTGGAGCTTGTACCTGCTTTTTTCTGTATTGTACATTAGTTTACTTCAGAAGTGGGGATGTCTTTTGGGTTATTCATGTGTGTCTGTTTTTTTGATAAAATAAGATTTACTTCATCAGCTATAATAAATCTTGGATTCTATAAGTTGTATTCAGAGAATTGTGTTATGCTTTTTGCATCTTGATTTTATTTGCATTAGTTAAGTAAATTATTTAATTTTTTTAAAATTCTGGATATTTTGAACATATTACTGTAATTTGTAATATAACTGCTGTGAAATACTTGAATAAAGAGGACAAGTAAAACTCCTGAGTCTCTTGATTGTTTTGAATAATGGTTATGTTTTGAATGATGGTTATGTTTTCATTTTAGGTGTACATTGGTAGGTAGGTTCACTCAGGTTGGCTTTTGCTCTGGCAAAAGAAAACCCTCTTGTTAATGGGGGGCCATAGATCCAGCTTTAGGGTCTGTGGGTCACAAAGGTGGACTTAGATTCTTTCCTATTCCCTTCCCCAACTAGCTTGGGAAAAAGTACCTCCTACTGAGGCACATATCTTCTGAGCACTCCTTAGTTTTTGTAATTAAAGTTGCTCTAGTTTTATATCCTGATTTATTCCATTAGGAACAATTTTCACGCAGAGATTTCATTCATTCTTTCATTTATTCATTCATAAAATGTATTTACTGCCCATCTCATATCCAACAACTCTCGGCGCTTTACAACATAAAAACATTGAAAAACATTAAGATCATCCATTATGAAAACATAGCAAAGAGGAACATCAAACAATAAAAATCAAGGAGACAAAATGGTAAAGAAGGAAGCTGAGGGAGGGGGGGAAGGTGGTGTTGAATTTTAATTAGTCACCACCTCGAGTTTTGCGGCTCTTTCAAAACATCAGGAGGGTAGCAGCCCATCTCACCTCAGGGTGTAAGAGGTTCCAGTGGGCAGGAACCATGGCAGAGAAGGTTCTCCTGGAGCCTGCCAGTCAAAATTCTCTGACAGGAGCCACAATTTGCCCTCTAGGCCAAGGCAGACAGGACAGACCAGTTCCCATCAGGAAGAGACAGTTCCTCAAGTAGACTGGACTCCTGCCATGTAGACGGTGACAAACGCCTTGAATTGTACCTGGAAGCAGACCAGCACCCAGTGCAGTTCATGAAGTAGTGATATAACGAGCCACTTTTGGGGCCCTAAGAACTCCCCACGCTACTGCCTTCCCTTCCAGTTGTAGCTTCTGAATCCTCTTCACTTCTTAAAGCTGTGGAAAGCAGAGTTCCTTAATATGCAGGCAGCCCTGTTCTGCCAACTTTGGCTGTCTACTCTATGGTACTGCTCCACGGGGCTGTGGTGAATCTAACATTTGGAGTTAGCCTATGCTGAAATAGCTGCTTGTACGTAGAGGAGGACCCTGGCGGGTTTATGGAGTTCAGTTAAGGAGGATCTTGCTGTAGAAGCCGAAGAAGCTTCTTGGATGAGAAGTGAAACATCTTCAAAGAAAAACCAGAAAGTCCAGTTGCCTCTTGAAAAAAAGGCACCTTTGGGACAACCCTGACCCGGATGACCGAGAATCTCCATAGATGTAGATTATTTAGTTATGTAATTGCAATAGTGTAAGCTTATTTTTCTGGTAGGGGAGCTGAATCAGTAAACTGTCAACTTGCAGGGCTAAATTCAGTCAGTACAGGAGCCGAGAGAGGATTAGTTTGTCATTACTCTAGGCCAGGGCTGTCAAAACTCGTGAGCAGCCGGCCAGGTGTGTCACGCGCTGGCCGTGCCCGCGCCTGATTTAGCAGGGGGGGGAGAAGTCCTGATATGTCACATGACACTGCCGTGATGCCGCAAGTTTGACACCCCTGCTCAAAGCAGTGGTAGTTCTTTAGCTCGTTTCTGGTTAAGAAAATAGGTAAATGCAGTTTTTTATGGCAAATCCTGTACTGCTTTCTATATTGAGTGGCACTTTTGTAGCTGCCAGCAACCAAGAAAGCGGGAACTTTTGCCTTGTTGGCTGCTAACAGCCACAGTTTTCCTCTTCTTTCACAAGAGGAATGACAGCTCCCATCTCTTCCTCTTGTAAACTGGCTCAGAGTAACCTTATTTGTTGCTAATAGTGGAAAAAGGAGCTGCGAAAAGGTTTGACCCAACGGTTTCACTCAAAGAAGAGCCAAGGAGAAAGCAAGTTCAAACATGCCTGAATAAAGTTCATTCCATCCAAGGATCAAAAGTGAAGAACACAATCGCTTAGATCAATATTTAACCTTTACTACCGGTATTAAATCTCTTGTTCAATCGGTCCGTGTTGCAATGATATTTCCTTGGGCCACATCAATCATTTCTTTAAGGCATGGTGGGGAAACTATGGCCCTTTTATGACGTGGAGTTCAACTCTCAGAATTCCTGAGCCAGCCATGAGTTCGATTTTGGGAGTTGAAGTCCACAAGTCATAAAGGGGCCATAGTCTCCCGCCTCTGATATACTATTACACATATTTCATATAACATGCATGCTATATGTTGATGAATGTCTGTTTTAAGCAGGAAGGGGAATAATCACTTGGTTCAACTTGAGCCCCCACCAATGACAATAACATCATATTTCAAAGTACCAAATTCCATATCCAGCACAATTCTGTAACCACCTTGTTGATACCACAAGCCAACACCAGCCATGACTTAACGGCAAGATCCAGTGGTGGGATTCAAATTTTTTTACTACCGGTTCTGTGGGTGTGGCTTGGTGGGCGTGGCAGGGGAAGGATACAGCAAAATCTCCATTCCCTCCCCACCCCACTAACCTGCTTTCCAGCTCTGTTCTCCTGTGCAGGGCAACCAAAGAAGATCCAGCCAATCAGCTGGGGCTCGGGAGGCAGAGAATAGATGGGGGCGGGGCCAGTCAGAGGTGGGATTTGCCGGCTCTCTGAACTACTCAAAATTTCCTTTACTGGTTCTCCAGAATTGGTCAGAACCTGCTGAATACCACCTCTGGCAACATCTGAGTGTGGGTGAAGGTTAGGGAAATCATTGAGGCCACAATGAGCTCAGAAAAGAATGGAGTGGGAAGGGAAAAGAAAGCAAACATTGCTAACTTATATGGGCTATTCTGAGCTTACTTCTTCGTCTTTCACCCCCTTTTTATCGACTTGGACCACAAAACAAGGTAGAAAAGCACAGCCAATCCAATCTTCCCACTGTAGTGTACAGAGGCTCTTCTTAAATCAATGGACAAGGGAAGGCCTTTCACTGCAGACCTAAACTAACCCTGTTAAAGGTAGCAGAGAACAGAGGCAGCACTTTTCCCCTCAAAGCAATAGAGGAACTGGAAACAATTAGCCACCATCTCTCTTAGGCTTTGCATCCCCAAATTTGAGGAAAAGCAGACCAATACCTTGTACTCTGGAAACAGAAAATGATGGGAGATGACTTTTTGGAAGTAAAAAAGCAAACCAAAACCAAGAAGTTCCACTGATTTATTGCTGACAATATGCTATGAACTTAATTGCTTTGTTACATGTGACATTGTCATATCATTTTTTGTAGCCCTGAACTGGTCTGGAAGTGAGAGAGAGAGAGAAGAAAGCTACTGCTATCTCAAGCTGTAACAGCATAAGTTTGGGGAAAATGTTCTTTATTCTCAGATTTCAATTATGATTCTGTATGAAGGAGAAAGTGCACAGGGGAATTGGTTTCATTAGTAATAATGATTAATGTGATCCAAACAGATATGAGTTAATAATATCCAAAGTAGGATTAAAATATACAAGTAACAATTAGTAGCTGGGGAAAATGGGGTCTGAAAGTTGCTTCTGAAACGTTCTTTTGATTTATCTTAAAATTCCCTTTTGTTTTGCTTTTTAATTTTTAAAAGTTCTTTAGATATATACATATAATTATTTTTTTTTGCTTTGCTTGCATGCCTTAACCAATAATATTTTTTTAAAAAAATATGCAACAGTTTGGTTTTTTTAGATGATAGCCTTTTTCTATAACAAATGATGTTTTGAGATTATTTTATTTGTTATTGGAGATGCAGTGAAGTTAACACTTTATTTTTTACTTTTTGACAAAGAAAATAGACTTAGAATTAAAAGACTTACTGTTTAATGCCAGAAATGCAAATATGACCCCAAAAATTGATTACTATATGTCTGCAATGAACTATGGCATCACTTTATTGTTGGTAAATATACATCTTGTGTGCTTGTTTCTTCTCTTTTACCTTTTTTAATTTTTTAATTTGTGTATTTTCCTTTGTTTTTTGCATTCAGTTAATAATAATTTTAAAAAACAATTCAGGCTATTGGTCATCCAGCCTTCCCTTTTTTGGTGTGGGTTAGCCACAATGAATAGGTATCACCTTTGTCCCACAATCTAGCTAATAAACACACACCTAGATTGTTGCATAAACCCACCCTCTGTAATTAAGATTCAGTGTGTTGTATGGATTAAATAGTGACCTCATCATGGCCCAGCTTATCCTAGGAATGCTTTCTGTTTAAATGCTCAATGCACAGATGCTTCCTAAACATTATAGATTTTCTGTCACTGATTCTGGTCATCAAAAAGGCTCCACTGTGGACAGAAAAACAGGAAGAAAAATACACCATTTCACAGTAAATAATGGCCATGCAACATATTGCAGTTTGTGTATCAACAGCTCAGGCAGAAAATGAAGGGCTGTAGCTGAATTCAGTATGAATACTGTGTTTAAGACAAGTACAGTATGGTGGAGCAAGACCCCTACTGTAGTTTACAGAAATCTCTCCAATTCTCTCCTCT